TAAAATAAAAAAAAAAAAAAGAAAAACTAAAAAACAAACAAAAGAAAAAAAAAAAAAAGAAGCTAGCGGTTTCACTCCAGTGTCAGTTTCTGACAAGTCTTAAATGACTCTGAGTCTCAATCTTTTCTCTCATATATATATGTGTTTATTGCACTCACTTCACTAGATGATACTGGAAAAGAAACAAGAGGCAGAGGGTTCTGAGATGATGTGTAAGACATGACTAAATCTGATGCACTTAATCACTTCATCTTGAGCGAAGGCCTGAAGGAAAGGTCAAACTGAGCAGGCAGAGGTGTGGGGCTGTATGACACTGCTGTGCCTGGAAGTCCACTGGGAATGATAAAGGAAAACCCACGATTCATGTCAAAGACAGTAGGAAAAGTTTTATTCAAGGGTGGTGTCAGTTACTACAATGATTTCTGTTGTTGTTTAGTAGGAAAAGCTGGACTCTAAACATAACATGGAAATGTGGGGCGCGTGTTGGTTGGTGGAATATTACTAAGCAGTAGGCATTTTTTTTAGGCTGGCCTAAGATGATTGTTTTGAAGACAGGGCAGGATGATATCATTTAGAGGGTGGTCAGACCCAGGGAGAATTTTGTGAAATTGACTCAGCAAGATTCTTTTAACTCTGCAATAAATACCTAAGCACACAACCCAAGATCCAGAGCCTAGTTAGAAAATCTCAAGAAGCTCGATTAAACTGAGGTCAAGAACAAAGTCTTTGTCAGAAATCTTCCTGAATAACAGGTAAAATGGCTCTGAAATGTGTGCATTTACATGTTAAAGAAAATCAAAATGTTTCTTTCACTATGCTTGAAATTCATGAAAGAGGTTTGCAACCATTATATCAGAAAACTCTGGAAGCAGAAACATAGAAATTATTGTATAAAGTATTGACTGTAAATATTTTAGCCCTTAAAATAATGCATTTCTGGAAAGAAATTTAGTTAACTACTGTTAACTTATGCAATATTGATTAATACAGCTTTGAATCTGGCCTAGCCACTGTTTTATTATTCAAATAATTCTCTCAGCAGCAAGACCCCCCCTTGAAACTTAATTTACATGTGAAGAATCTTTTTTCTCATAGCTGAAAAAAACAAGCAATTTTAATTAGTGTAAGAAGAATTCTTGCCTTTTTGGTAGCCAGGAACTTTAAAAGAATAAGTGCAGTATAAGTAAGATTTGTGTGAACCTTGAATCTTTTTTCTGGCTGAAGAAGTCTACTCATAGCACTTTTTTCACTAAAAAAATACTTCTTTAAAAGATATGCTTATAATTTGAATTTTTTCTTTGACATGGTAACTTTTTATCTTTCGTTTTTATATACATATATATGTGTTATTATTAACACAGACATGTGATCCTAAGTATCCTCTATATTATCTCCATATACACAGTACATTTTCTATAGGCTTGTGGCAGAGGGAAAAATAGAGCAATATGAGACAACATGAAAAAATGATGCGAAGGTCAGATTATTATGAGGAGCAGTAAGTGAGGCTGGGACATGCAGTGCACATTAGGAAGTCCTATACACTTCCGAAAGAGAGCTCTGCAGTTTCATCCTGCGTTTTTCCAGCAGTCTGTGCAAAGAGGGAAATTTGATCAAGTACATGAGTCACAGCATCCATAAAATGAAAGCAGAACAACGGCTCTGGCAGAAGGTTTGTTCAGTTTCTGAAGGCGTTCACTTTGGTTGAATATTCTCACCTAGCATTGTGCCAAAGCTTGGACTAAGTGGATATTTGGCAGGAACCAAAAAGTTATCTTTCCTCTAAAAAGCACAGGCTGTTAGACTTTGTGGGTGTGGATGTAGAAACTTAGAAGGGTTGAGATTTAATCACTTGAATTAGAGTTTTAAAAATTATTTCTCATGTATGATTAAACGACATTCAGTTATATGTGGGAAGAATTTCAAAAGTGTTACTAAACAATGAGTAGAGGAAGAAGAGAAATGTTGAAATAATATTTAAAACCACTACCCACACAGAGGGTTAGCAACGTAGACACTGAAAAGGCCATACCAACCCTGAAGCAAGGAGTTGCTGTTCAATATCTCTAAAACCCTCAGCTAGTTCAGGAGCTTGTGTAGGAACGGCCTCATCTCTAAGGAAACTGTGGCTTCAGCTTTCCTTAGAGTATGGGGTGTAGTAGACTCAGGATTTTATGTTGAGGTCCCAGCTCTGATTTCAGCTGTCCTTGTAACTTTACAGCCAGTTATATCTCTTTCCTGGCTAGATAAGCGGCATCAAAATTAGTGGAGCTCTTGACAATCCCACCACAGTGATCCTAAACCCAGAGGCAAAATTAGGCCTCAAGTGCATACTTTCCTCTTGTTAAATCTGTTTTGTGGATTAAAGGCAGGCCAATAATGTCCACGCCAGAGGGCAGCAGTGCACTCCACATAAACGGAGGCGCGAAGCGCTCTTCTGGTTTCTACTCACTAAACTGTCCGCTAGGTGGCAGTAACAGGAATGCAGCTGGAGAGGTCATTAATGGATTATGTGAAAAACTTAATCCTTTCATTAAATATGAAAGCGGCATTTTGAAACAAATACACACAGTTGGAATTCTTTTTCTCGAGAAAACTTCACATGCTAGTTGACTTTAGACCTTGCACTCAGTAACCTAAAATAACAAAATAAAACAACATAAAAACCAAAGCTTTGGTGAGGGGTGTGTGGAAGAATCTGGGGAAGATTACTATTTGAAAATAAATTAGTATCATTATTAAGAATTTATGAAACTCCGATTCTCTTATTCTAATTTCGAATAAACAAGGGAGACTACAATAGCCAGTGTTGAAGACAATAATAGTTATTATTTATTGACCACCTACTATTTGCCAAGGATTGTATTTAAGTGCTTTAAAAACATTAGTTCATTGAACTTGGATCAGAGATTTCCAAGAAATTCCAGATTTGAGCATAAGCCTATTAAGAGTCATCATTTCTGTATTTTCCATGACCTTTTGCTTTTTCTGCTTGAGCCACTTTCACAAAAACCCATAGTGAAGAAAAAATGAGAATTGCACGCTAGGCATGATTTTGAGTGGAACCAGACATGTATTCTCTGTGTTTAGGACTTTTGCTCACATTTAGATGCACAGCATTCATTCATGAAGGAAAATAGTACATTTTGATTCCACAATTATATTGAAGGCTAAAACTGAAAATTAGTTTTGGAGTACTAGCAAGTAGTAAAGTCATTCATTCTGAAAAATAAATGACTGATAGGATCATAAATAAGAATGGGGTGGGGTAGAAAGACCAGAGAGATCCTGTGTGCTTGACTGAGAAGCCAGGTTTAATGAGATGGAAACAGGACAGGTTCAGGGAACAGGACAGGTTCGGCGCTCAGGTCCGAGCCTGGCTTCGTTCTTCTGTGGTTACCCTTACTTGTTCAGCAGTTCTCACTTTCGCATTGCCTTATCCAGCCATATGTAACTCAATGCAATGCGAATGCTTTTGGTGTATGGCAAAGGCTTGAATGTGCTTTGAACATAAACACTGGCAGAGAAGGTTTGATTACAGATTCATCCCAAGTAATGTCTCAGAGGTGGACCTGAGCTTCCCTCAAGAGGACCCCAAATCCTTCATTGCTCCTCTAATTTGGAGAGATTAGAACCCATCATCAAGGAAAGGAGAAATAAGAAGTCAGGGACTGCAAAGCAGATCAAGACAGTTTTTTGTCCACAGTGATTTTATTGACCAGGAAAGCTGTGCTTTAATGTGCTTGGTTTCAAATATGTATTAAGAGAAATATACAAAATAATATGGAAAAGTCAAGGAACAAAAGCATACTTTAGGCTAAGGGGAAAAGGAGAAAGACCCTCTTTCGTTTCATGCACAAGACATCTTCAGAGTGACTTCTAAAGAAGAGGAAGGAGCGGCAGTGAGGGCCTCAGGGAAGGATTCTGTGGGAGGACAGGAGAGCAGCAGCTGCATGATCTACACCCAGAACCCTGTGCCCAATTATCTGCAGGCCAGGAAAGATGAGCCCAGGATGCCACTCAGCTGACATAAATCAGTAATAACAACTGCCACTAACTAAGCAATTAAATCCTGGGAGCCTGGCATTGTTCTCACTTCTGTTTCTTATTTAGCCTTAGTCAGCTTCACTGGGGAGGTGGTGTTATCCCTTCTCTGAGAAAATATATTGCTTGGGGTCCAATAGTTTAACAATGTCATGGTCAGAGCTCAAACTCATTCTTTTGGCAATGTCTTTTGCTTTTCTAGGGCCTTCCAGCTAGACCATGGCTGGCGACATATATTGACCTCTATCAGAGGTCACACTAGACAATTTGGATCAATTAATAAGCACAATTGGGTCAAAATATAATTAACCACAGCACTATGACTTGTCCAAGTTTAGTTTTGCTAAATGGAACACTAGGTGTATTACGAAAAATACTTAGAAAATAAGAATAGAATTGAGCAAACTCTTCCCCCAACACTTTTTTTCCCCCAGCTGACTTATACAGCAATAAAGGAAGATAAGACAGAGAATGACTCCAAACCAACTGACAGCACAACTAAAAGCTTTTGGCTTGTCTACCTGGTTCTTGGTCCAACAATGACCAGGTCAGTCTTCCATAGTGCCTTAGGTGGAAGGGGTGAAGAGGAACTGGTGGTATTTTTAAAGTAAGGCAAAGAAAGTTTCAGTATTGAGACATTGCTGCTGATAATCACTGATGCTGGTTTTTCCTCGATAAGAATGTTTAACTTTGCTTGTATAATGGCTTTTCTGTGGTTGTGATCCTCAGATTTGCTTCCCAAAGGAAAAAGTGCAGGCTGGAATTTGTACACAGGTTCCAGAGAACGAAACGGGGCGTATCATAAACGATGCTCACATTCCACAGAGCAATGACCTTTAATTGTACAATCAACGGCACATTCATACTACATGAAGACTTCTTTGCACATATTTATGAGTCTTGTTTAAAAATGGAAGGTGGCTCTGTGGCAGTTTCTTTAGGTGAATAAAGTGCTGACAGTCACTATGGTTATCAAGATGGAGGCAACAAGGAGAACAATCAAACCTACACGACATAATTTTGATTGCTTGTCGTGCTTCTTTTTCTTTTTCAACAAGGTGTCAAAACCCGGTGTGTACATGTCTCCCAACCAAAACCGTAGGTCGTTAGGGTTTTCCTGAAAGAAAATTACATAGAGAGTATGGTATCGTCAGTGATCAGCGTGACAAACTGAGACTGGAAGACAAGCTATTGTCCATAGAAAGATAGCTGGGATAACTGCACTGCTGATGTCTAATGGCTTATTGAAAGGAACAGTTAGTGCTTAATTTTTTGGATGAATTTTGCATGCTTATATCTGGTAATGTGAACAACTAATTTGAAGACAACAATATGCAATATAACAACCACTGGCAAATTCATACCATCTTGTCTAGTGAAACTGTATTGTTTCTAATGTTTTTTGTTTGTTTGTTTGTATGTTTTATTCTCTTTATTGGTTTGATCAATCTTGCATTCTTACATCTGGTAATCTGAGCAACTTTGTTGACAATAACAAAATGTAATATAACAGCCACTGTTAATTCTTATCATTTTGTTTTGAAATCCTGTATTATTTTTATTGTTTTACTTTATTTTGTTTTTGTCTATGTTGTTGTTATTTTGCTATTGTTCTTTCTTATTCTTCAAAATAAAATTTTAAAAAAGATGTCAGACAGGCTGAAGGTTCATATTCAAACTGTCAGAGCAGTGAGATTTACGTGTTACATCTTGAATAAAAGAGAATAGGCTTCTCTAAATACATGGGTGTGCTGCTACAGCCCCTGGCAGCCAAGGGATCTGGGCAGTTAATGTGCAGATCTGCCTCAGAATTCATTAGGAAGCCTACAAAAATTCCTTATTAAATTGGTCACATTGGAAGGTCAGAAACACCACAGTGATTCTGTCATCTGTTAGGCAATTTTGTACTTCTTACATCTTATGAATAGTGCGTGTAAATCAGGTTAGTGAGTTGAAGTAGAATTAAAATTCCTTGCCTTAGATGAACCTTGGAGGCTTGATTTTGTCTGCAGGAGTAAGCATGTTTAGTGCGCTTTCCAGTAAATCCAGAAGCTGACTTCCAAGAAGGGAGAATGAGACTAGGTATCAAGAGTCCCGTCCATGAATCTCAAATTATTAGTCTTCCTCATAGAGGGTTCTAGTGTGTCTGCCGTGCTGAAGCTTTGGCACTGTTTGACCTCCCAAAGAAAAGAGCTAGTATATCCTCCACATCAGCAACTGTACTCCATGTCTCATTTCACTGGCTTCATTTTCCTTTCAGTGCTAAAGAATTATCTTCACATCAATATTCTCTCTTGCAAAGCATTTGCAAACTCTACTGTCCATACCAAATAGTGCAGTTACTCTTCTATCATTTTATGCTAGGTTTCAGGGCTACAGATTCAGTATCTACATCTGGCATTTGGAAGGCAGAACAGAAATTTCTAGGAAATGATGAACTGCCGTTGTCACAAAGCCATTTCAAGCCTCATTCTCTCTCATCTGGATGATTGCAAAGGCTCGAAGCAGGCTACCCACCCTCGCTAGTTTCAGTGGATTTAGAATCATCTGGAGTGTGGTACAACCCCTTTCCACAGTTGTCAGCCTCAAGGGTCACTGAACTAGCTTCAGAGTTATCAGTGCACTAGCAGAAGAGGAAAGTGCATGCTCGTAAGGAGCTGTGATGGCTTCATTAACGTTTTTACACTCCTACTGTAGTGGTTGGAGGTTGAACTTCCTAGTCTTACAAATGGTCAAATATTACAATAAAATTTAGATTCACTTGTGCAGAAGGATTTAAAAATCCTTGTCTACCTTACTCTCACCTTTCATCTCACTTGTGTCCAAATCAGAGGCCTCCATTTTGCCTACAAGTTTAATGAGTTTGTTCTGCATTAAAAACTGTATGATGGAAAATTTCCTCTGTTACATTCTTCTAGCTTGGATTTGTAATTAATATAGGATCTCTCTTGTCTGACTTAAAAAAATCTTAACAATTTAGAAAAATAGGACCAAACTGAGGTATCTGGAACATTTATAGTCTGTAAATTATATCAGAATTTCAGAAAATATTTTAGGGGTTATATTTACTAATTATGAGACAAGGATAGAAGTGATGATAAAGAAATTGAATTAATGAGCAGCAGAAGAGCTCATGGGTTCTAGAAAATTCTTCTAATTACTGCTTCCCTCAGAAGTCAATGCACAGGCCATAGGCTTGAGCTTTGATACGAGTTGGTGTGAATGTAGAGGACAAGGTAGGGTAAGAGACAGGCATTGGTTTTAGTAAAACAATTCAACCATTGGAGTTACAGTCTGCTTTCTTTAAACATATTGTTCAGCCTAAAGATATTATTGTTCAGTTTCCTTAGTCTAATATTCAAACTTGGTTTCTTAACTTTTGAAAATCAAACTCATTTTTTTAACTTAAATGTAATGTCTGTAATGGTTAAATCAAGATAGGCATATCTATCTCTTCAAACATTGGTCATTTCTTTATGCTGAGAACATTCAGAATCTTTTCTCAGCTTTGTGAAGTATACAGTGTATAACTGTCACCTGTGACCAGCCTTCTGCACAGTAACACACCACAGATGATCTCTTCCAATTCCACCTTAGTGTCCATTGCTCAGACTTTCCCTGTCACCTCCATTCTCAAATGTTCTCTTCTTTTTTTGTAGATTTTTGTGGCCTTCCCTACCACTATTCTTAAACTGGGACTCTAGCAAAAGTGTTCCACTGAGTGTTTCCTCAAATGCTCTCACTTTCCTGCAGTTTTATCTTTCCTCTTGCTAGTCAAGCCAGGAGGAAGCCTGGTTGCTCAAACTAGGGGGAAACCTTGCCTCTACTGTTGCAAACCTTCTAGATCTTTTGAAAGTTTCACATACACTTCAAGGTTAGTATGAATTAACCATGTCATGAAGACTTTTTATAATCACATGTGACTTCCCCACTCCAAGTCTTCCCAGAATTTTATACTGCAATTACAGACATGCTTCTATGTCTTTTCCATAATTAGTACTGTGAATTTTCTCATTGAGACGAACTTTCTGAAGGCAGGTGTACAATGTTTATTTATGTTGTTTCTTCACCATGCACATAAACAGCAAAGGCCAGGTAAGATGTCCTAGAAATATATCACCAATGTTTGAATGTGTGGGAAGCAAGGCAGTACAATTTAGTTTTCAAAGATTAGACTTAGAAGTCTTGATTTAAACCCTCTGGATAAAGAAGATGAAAGAAAGAAAAAGAAAAAAGGGAAGGAAGGAAAATAAAATGTATGATGATTGTTTCTTTCAGGAGCATCTGTTTTTTAAGCCTCTTGGAAAGCCACCACAGTAAGAAGTAAATATTCAAAATACTAGATCAAAAAGCATTGATTCTCCACTATAGAATATTTTGAGGTGTGAACATCTTAAAAACCATGTGTAAGATTTAAAAGGACGTGGTGCTGTCACATTCCAAAGAAAAAGAGTCCTCAGGTGCTGAAAATAATGTAACAGACACACAATTTAAAGTGAAGAGTACTTGGAAAATATCAGCATCCCAGGCTGAGGCGGGTGGAGGCAAGCCAAGGCTGGTTAAGAATCCAGTCCTTTCAGGAAGTGAAGCACTTCACTCTCCGGTTTTCAGGTATTTCTAGGTCTTTTATACATGGGTAACAGACTTCAGGGGAGGAAAACAGAAAAAAAGGAAAGAAAGAAAAACTTAAGTTGGGTTTAAGCTGGGTGAATGAGTTCATTGCATACTTTTCCTGTGTTGAAATGTTTTTGTTTTGTTTTGTTACTGAGACACAGAAAAATGACCAAAATGTCAATCTGCAATCTTAAATCTCTGGGTAGGCTTGATATAAAATTATCCTGTTAAGTACTTCCTCACACTGTGCCTAAAACAGAGCACTTTATATGTTTCAAAAAATATACAGTAAGAAATCAGTCCTTAAGAGTTCATGAACATAAACGGAAAAACTCTGGAAAAACATGTGATCTTGCAAATCAGCTGTGGAAAACTTTTTACCCTCCTTGAGATATTGTATTCTATGCTACATCATTTTATCTCTTTCTGTATCAAAGAAACATAGATTTGACTATGAAGGAAAAAGTTAAACCAGGGCCCCAAATGACCTGAAATCTGGAGATTTTATGTCTAGTGAAGAATGCCTGTCATCTCAATAACACTTTGTTTCAGGGTTATTTTACTGACCTCCGTCACCAATTGAAAGGGTGATTCTCAATCTTTTTTGTTTTTAGCTTTCACACTACCTTGATTCTCTTTATGTTTCTTGTTAATTTAAGGATGGATTAAAATCATTTTGACATTTGAGTATGGATATGCAAAAGAAAAATATACTCCTCATCCTCAGTCTTATGTACCTTTAGATGTCCAGAGAGGTTTGTGTGCAAAGAATGCTTGTCATACTCCTCAATAGTCCAGGAAGGACTTTTTTTTCTTTCTTCCATAGCTTCTTCCAAACTTATGTCACCATAGAGTGGGTTATTTTTCATAACTGAGGACATGGATGGTGGAGGGCTATCGGCAATGACAGAGACCACCCCGCTGGATCCTTTGACTCGTTGAGCAGTGACATTCTTCTTTTCTTTCTGTTAGGAAGCAAAGAGATAAACCATCACTTACAGATGGGTCTTCTGATGGTCAAGAGTACAATGGAGGACAAATGGCTGGAAAATTGTTGATTTGAACTAGATCCCTAACAGGTTAGGACCATGGATGAGAAAATAACTCTAGGGTCAACTTTGACCTAGAATCTTACTATTAATTGAGTTCTCTCTTTGCATATGATCTTTTTCTATTGTAATATTCATTTGAATACTGTTTTATAAGTACTGAGAAAGAGTATTGTTTAATTCATCTGGTAGAATTCTGAACAGGGCCCAGTTTTCCAGTTTACTTGTATTGTGATTTAAAGACATTTTACTTCTCTGTGTTGGTATATTCCACAACTGATAAAAATAATATTTAACATGGCTGTATTAATCCAGCAAGTTCAAGATTAAAAGACATTTTACAGCTATGTCTTGGCTTTTTACAAATATTCTCCTGGATCCTAGTTCAGACAGCTTTGTGGACTGAGTTAATTTAACATTGTATGTGTGCGTTTCATATTAGATGGTTCAAATAGTGACTTTCAAATTTTAAATATGTTTTTATAGAACCAAAATAATATTACACATACAGAGATGTGCACATATGACAAATATATTGCTCAATACATTTTCACAAGCCAAATAAATGTAATATTCTGCCCCTGGGGTATGCAACAGAACATTACCAGCACGCCTTATTCCACTTTCATTTCTTCTCAATTCCCTGTTTAAAGTAAATGGTATCTCTAACTCTAATAATACAGATTAATTTGGACTCATTGGGCATTTTGTATAAATAGAATTACACAATGCCTGTTTTTCTGTATCTGGTTTAACCTTCAGAATTTTACTTTGCTTCCCCCCCACCTTAGGACTATGAAGACATCACACAGGTTGGAACTTTTTAAATTAAAATTTGTTCACTGTTTGGGGCTGGGGATATAGCTCAGTGGCATAAGCGCCTGCCTGGCAAGGGCAAGGTTGTGAGTTCGATCCCGGTACCATAAAAAACAACAACAACAACAAAAAAACTTGTTCACTGTTCAAACACAAATTAAGATAAAACAAAAATAAAAAGCTTATACAATAATACTTCATTCTTCACACAGCATCAGTGGGGAGAAATCAAACATTAATTTTAAGGTAACACAGGTTTAACTTTTAAAAGCTGGTAATTTTTTTCTGATTTACAGCAATATTTCAATATATGTTTCCCAAACTGTAGTGTTCCTAAGCAGAGAAAGTTCATAAAAATTGTTTTCTTCTGATTCATGTCTATGACAATCAATACATCAATAACTTGAACATCTACTGGGATATATGTCACATTAAATGTGTATATGTATATAAAATAAAGTTGTAAACTGGTATTGCATATAATTTCCTCCTGAAATGGCTGGCAACTTAAGAAAAGTCATCCCGATGAAACCATTCGCATTCTCTTCGGTGTTGGGTTTACTTAACTTTCTTAATCCTTGCATTTTTCACATTCTCAGAGATCAACTTGGAGATTCTCTCTGACTTCAATAGTTTCTCGGTCTGTTCAAAGTCAATTTATATTCTATAATATCAAAGTGTGCACTAAAATAATAGTTCTTGACTGAATGTGTATCGTAAAGATGAGTGGCTTCATAAGTAATGTATCTGAATTGAGTAAAGAACAATTTGATAAGAAATTTAGATTGTTTGAGCTAAGCATAATTCTGAATCACTTTTTTTCTCTAAACATAGACATCTTTGATCATATCTGAGGAGGGATAATTCTTCTGACATTGACAAATTGGCTTTGTTAGGTTACTTGCATACTAGACTGTTCCTTGAGTTTCTTCTTAAATAAGAAATCTGTATAAATGAAGAAAATAAAGTTTGAGGGCTCCAGAAAAAATTTACAAACACTATGACAAGATATAGACTAAAAAGCTAATATATAAAATAGCAAAATAGCATACATAGTCTAAAAGAATATTCAAGCCCTGTTTCTAAGCCATATTATTGAAAGTATTATGATTTATGCTAGAACATGGTATCATTTATTTTTGTTCTGTATGCCAATTTTGTGTCTATAGAACATGTCAAGAGAGATTTATTACTTATCTTTATTAAGAATTTGATGCAGGGCTTGGCTTATAGTTCAGTGGTTGTGTACATTGATAGCATATGTGAGGTCTTAAGTTTGATTCCCCAGGACATCACGGATAGTTAGGAAGAAAGGAGGGAGAGAAGGAAGGAGAGAGAGAGAGAGAGAGAGAGAGGAAGGGAAAGAAAGAAGGAGGAAGGAGGAAGAAAAAAGATCATTTAACAATAATATATATTCAGGTGAGAAACTTAACTAATGTGAGCCCTTACATACAAATATTTCAAGAATCAGAGCGTTAGTGTAATACAGGAAAGACATGACATCCGGGACAGAACCCACCAGTTTAGAAGAAGGAATTAAAGAGTGCATTGAAAAAGAACCTAAAAATTTCATGCTTTCTAGTGTTCTCAATTTGATTACAGACCCCAAATACTGAAACGTAACATTATTTTAAAGAATAAAAATGCAGTGAGCACAAAGCATAGTAAGATTTCTCAGCTGAATGAAGATATCCAAGGCAAAGATTTTGTTAAAGGCATAGTTTCATACTTATCATTTCAAAAAGCTTCTGGGAGTTGTCACGAAAGTTAGAGAAATTAGAGAAGAAAACCAAACAAATAAAAGCCATTTGAAATCTGCGTCTTCAAAAACTTTATGTATGTTCAATGACATATAGAACTTACTGGGGCTAAATAGGTAGAAATCACATTAATAAATAATTTACTGAATTTTTAGGGAAATATATTCACAAACAATCCACAAAATTACACCTAAACACGTTTGATTAGTTAAAATAGAAAATGTAAGAAACAACAGTAGTCCTAGATATCCAATATTGATAAGTATGAGTCAGCTTGAAAGCCTGTGCTGCTTTGAAGGAGGATCCAACTTCAGGCACAAGAGATTGATGATCAAGAGGCTGCTTCCCAGGGATGGATCCAGGGACCGTACAGAACAAGGAATCCGCAAGTCCTCCTAAACAGCAGAAACTGAGCCTAATTCATTTTCTTCACCTTCAGGGAAGAAGGTCTATGTGAAATATTCCCAGAGGGATTTAAGATTTCCTTCGGAGGAGTGACTGCTGTGACTCACTTTTCCCAGTCAAGAAGGAAGGAACTACTGTGGTAGCCCTATTCTTGTTTCAGTGAAGCATATAGGACGATATGAGGAAGAATCTCTCAGCATAGCAACTGACTGACTTCCAGTTTGGTTCTTCTGAGGGCATGATGAATGTGCTCAATACATGGGAAGAAAATTTTAAATATATACATATATAGATGCAATGTACACATATATGCACATCTGTAAAACATGACATACGGTATAATGTATCTAATTTATCATTATGCCTAGAGATACTATCTATGTATTTAACTGAGTAATGCTAGTAAAGCCTGCTAGGTGCTCAGCAAATCCATTTCTTATTCATGGGCACTCAGCAGTTGGACTGGGACCTAGGACTGCTAGAACTCAAGCCTGACCACAAAACTCTCTGTCAATGTTCATCTTGTACTCTCTGCCTTTCCTCTCTGCAAGCCTGGTAGAAATTCTGATCTGAAGAAGACTGGAATTCCCCTTGAAATTGAGCCTCCTAGGACTTCTGCACTACCTACAGCACATCTACTGTGAAGGAGGGATATGTTTTATTGTGCTGAAGCCACTAAGAAGTTGTGTATATTTGTTTCCACAGCATAGCTTGGCCTAACTAACTACTAAGGAAAGAAATATGTATCAGACTTAATATGAGAGCTTTGTTAGATATAAAATAGTTGCTAGAAAAATGAATAAAAGTAGATCAGTAAAATATAATAACTTTATATTTGCATGCATCTAGTAAAATTGTACTAACATGTATAAAACAAAGATTGAAATTAGGAGAAATTCATACATGTAACTGTTATCAAGCACATGGAATAATATTATAGATGAATAGAAGTTGGTAAATAAAATCAAGTTTGATCAACTGACATAGATAGATATGTTATTAAAGAATTGAAAATACTTCATTTTGAAATGTACACTGAATATTTTAAAAATTAGCAATTAGATACTAAAGGAAATCATGGAAACTAAATACAGTGGTACCTTGGTTTACAAATGTTTTGTTTGCAAGCAATTTGTTTCACAAACAAATGCATTTGGAAAAAATTTATTTTTCTTTGCAAACTCTGCATCAGGTGACAAACACAATTATGACCATATATTCCACATAACACAAATATGATTATCTTTTCCAAAATCATGGAACAAATGAAGTTCATGAACTGAGGTACCATTGTATATGGATATCTTAGTTACTTTTCTCTCATTGCTGAGAAAAATACTTGATGCCCCAAAATTTAGGAAAGAAAGGTTTATTTAGCTCACAGTTTGTGGAGGTTTCAGCTGGCTCCAAAGCAGCGTGGCACATAGCAGAGGGCAACCATTCATGGAAGCAGAAGATACCAAAAGCAACAAGAGCAAAAGGGAAAAGCAAGCCTCTTTTCCTCCTTTATATTACATGCAGGCTACCCACCGTACAGTGATTGTAGCACTCACACTGCCAATCCCAGAACTGGACAATAAACTAATCACAAACTCTAAATTCAGCCACCTCCAAACAGCCCAACCCCCATGACCACCTGAGGCTTTAGGTGGACATCCAGACACAAACCATAACAATGGATCACCTCTTTGATCATACACAATTTAGTTTCAAATATAGAAAAGGTCAAGAAAATAAATTAAAATACTAAATTTTGTGAACTTAAAAATAAATGTTAAAGTAATAATAAGGAAAACTTTTAAATTTAGAGCAGAAGGAAAATAAAACATGCCACATTATAAAATTGTTAGCTGGAACTCCAACAGTATTTTCAGGAAATATTGTGGGAAAACATGCTTGTATTATAAAAGGATAATGAAACAGTTAAAGAGTTAATAAGCACCCAATTTAAGCCTTAAAAACAAAGCCAAATAATAAATGTAAGAAAACAATAAAAGTAAATAATAAAGAATGAAGCAAAAAATGAAAATATTTAAAAAAGAAAAACCCCAATTATAAATGGAAAGGATGGACAATGTTGAGAGTGGTTTCTTTGAAAAGACTAAAACACCTCTGGCGATACTGCTCAGGAAAAGTAATAAAGACACAAATCCTTGTGGCTGGAAATCTAAAAAGAATATGTAAGGAGACATAGTAGAGATAAAAAAATCTGTACTACTAATTTCTATTGTTTTATTGAAAAGAACTGTTAATGCTTAATTGTTTGATCACTCTTGCATACCTATATCTGGTAATCTGAGTAACTGCTTTGAAGATAACAATATGTAGTATAACAACCATTGTTAATTTCCTATCACCTTGTTTTGAAATTCTGTGTCATTTTTACTGTTTTTTTGTTGCTTTGTTTTTGTCTTTTGTCTTTGTTTTTTGTTTGTTTTCTCTTTAAAATAAAATAAAAAACAAAACAATGATGAATGAGAATGTGACTCAGTGCTGGAATACTTGCTTTGGGAGCAGGGGGCTTAAGGCTTGATCCCTGGCACTGAAATCATGATCATCAACACCATCATCATCATCGTCACCATCTGAGCAGCGTTAAAAATGTTTCTGTAGCTGGGTAACCTCCTACATAATATTCCTACAAACCTTAATGAAGAAAAATAAGAGATATTAATAGGCCTGTGATAATTTGCTAAGAGAATCAATAGTTAAAACTCTACTTACCCCCAACACACACTCAAGAACACCAGACAGAAGAATTTTGCTGCCAAGTTTTTCTCTTTTCAAAACAGGTAGTTTTCAACCTTGTCAAAAATTCTTCAAGAAAATAAGAAAACAAGGAACAATCCCCAAATCACTTTATGGGGTTGATAAAAAACTGAGATGAGAGCATTATGTAACCAAATCTTAACCAATTTCTCTTTTTTATTTTACAGATTAAAAAAACTAACAAAACAACAATGAAGACAAAATCAAAACAACACAAAAACAACAAAATGACACATAACCTCAAAATAAAAGGATAAGAATTAACAATGGTTGCTACATTACATAGTTACAAACACAAATGTAAAACTTCATAAATAAAATATTTCTCAGCAGAATTCTAGAATATATAACATTTAAACATATCAGGAAAAGACAGGTTTATATCAAAGAATCATATTTTACCAGGAGGATGATGAAATTGTAGAACATTAATAAAATTCGCTGCTTTAGTGTGACAAAATGTAGAATTTTGGAACAGTTAAAAAAGATTTTGAAATAATTACGTAAAGCAAGTTCTGTTATCAAATTAAAAATAATAGAGATATTTTTAAGCTGTATAAGTGAATAGACCAAAAATGTCTGGGACACAGTTTACTGAGTGGTGAAATATTAGAGGCATGTATTTTTACTTTTAGTGTTGATACAAAGATGCCAGTAGCAACACCATCAATATAGTGTCACAGAAGGAGTGCAAAGCCATGCAACAAAGACAGTAGACAGATGAGTGTATAAATAATTAAATAAATAAATAAACTTGTAAATAATGAAACAAAACAGATGACCGGATTAGCTATAGAAGCACTTACCATGAAAATAAAATAAGAGCTTATAAACACACTTTCTGGATTCAAAATCCACATATAGCAATCAGTAGCACACATGAGTAATTATTATGAAACATGATTTAAAGTTAATATTCTCAAGAGCCGTAAGTACTGTAAGCATTTAGATATACACCTAGTGAAGTGTTTGCAAAATATTTATGTAAAGATTACAAGATATTGTATAACAGAAGGTCATTTAACAAACTGCAAAAGCAGAAGATATAGCATGTTTGTGGTTTGGGAGAACCAATATCATAGGTTTGAACTTTCCCCATTTTGATCTACACATCATTATAATTATAATGCACATAAGGTATTTTGTTTCTATTTCATGTATGGGCTAATAGGCTTCTCTTTAAAAAATCCTCTTTCCATTGACTACTGTAACTCAGTTTTCCAAGTTGACAGAATGTTTTTTTCTTGAAAACAGATTTTACCATGTGATTCTCTCGTTTAAAATTTTTCACTGATTCCTTAAAATTTTCAGGATAAAATTGAAAATCTCAGACAAAGCCCATAGACAGCCTGTGGTAGACTCCAGTGTCTCCTGTATCTTGTGTCCTGCTTCTCTGACAGTGCCTGGGGCTCTGTAGTCCTGCATGTGAGACTGAAACTTGCAGTGTCTTCTATATGTGCTTCAGTGTAGGAGGCATTTGGGGCTCGTCTGAGAGCAGCATGGTCAGACAAGCTGTTATTTATCGAAATACCGTTCAAGAGAAGTATCTACCACTAATGGGGAACTTCGAGGCCCATAAATTTAGTACACCATAAATCATGTTCTGATAGGTACAAGTGAGCAACTTCATGTTGCTTCTTGATATAATTCTTGGATAGTAACTTAAACACTAGAAAACTCCCATAATATCTCCCTAGTGTAAATTTTAAAATTAGAGACTGTTGTATAATCAGGGCTGTTGTTTTCTAAATAGCATCAGGATGAAAATATTTTTACAGAGGTCATGGCAAATGAGTTCAGAGACCATTAAGATTATTTATATATATATAAAATCTGTCTCAAATATATACACACATACACCACACATACATACTAAAAGCAAGAAGAGTGCTATTGAAAATGAGTGAGTAATGGTGAAGAGGAAATGAACCAGTAAATGACATTCTGTAGGGATTCCGGAAGAAAACACTAGAGCAGGGTCTCACCCTTAGTCTTTTGCCTCAGGTCACAGAGTTACACTGGAATGCACCTGCGATCTGAATCTGATGTGACAGAAATCAGAAAAAGATAGAACAAAGAGATTAGTCTGAAAAGATTCCGAAGCCCAGGTGCTAGTCAGAAAGTGCGAGTCAGAAAAAAAAAAGATCCACCCATAATCCCTGATATTTTATCACTTGAAAAAATTTAGCTTAAAAATAAGGGTTTCTTTTCTTACCTTCTTTCATACACAATTTGGTATAAACACTTGGAATACAATGCAAAATGCCTTACTTAGATACATGCTCCAAATCATTTTAACAACCAGAAATAGTAAATCTTGGAAAATATTTTTATTGTGTTTACAGGAAATTTATTATGAAGTTCCTTATTTCTCTAGTGAAAGTGTACAAGAAGGAGTATAAAGATAGTGGATTTAATTAATAACTACTTTCCCCAGAAATACCCTAGTATTTAGGAATTGACAATGTTCTTGGTAAGAGACTTGCCCATGAAGTGCTTACTTTTCTAGGCTATCCAGTATTGTGTTCAATCATGTAAAAATGTCTTAGAATTGTGAGAATGTAAATTTTAAAACTATAAGAAGTTAATGCATTGATATTAAAATAATACATGTAGTTACAAGGCAATCTGATATTTGGGTTCCATTTGATTTCTGTTTTAACCACCAAATTGACAGCAGGTTAAAGGTTGTGTTTGTGGGTTAAATCTTATTTTTGTTTGTTTGTTTGTTTGTTTTTTGTCTTTTTCTCCAGTACCCAGAATCGAACTCAAGACCTCGTGCTTGCCAGGTAGGCACTGTGCCACTGAGCTAAATCCCCAGCCCCTGGGGTTAAATTTTGTGACATTCCATGAAGTAATCTGCATTCCAGGCACCAGGCAGTATACTGGAAGCTTACTTGACATAACTGAAGATACTTTGATATGTAAGTATCAAATTTACTGCTTGGATTACACAAATGACAAATGTATTGACTACATTTCCCAGCTACCACAACTATTCTCCCACACCCACAAACATCTCTAACCACAGTATCTACAAAAAGTAGTATTGTATTATCTGCTGTCTCCTAGTTTCCAATAAAATTATAACTTCATTACATTTTGGGATATTAGTAAATAATACTTACATATATACTTCTATTTATATTTTTCCAATTTTATAAGAAACGTTCTAAATTTTATCTTATATTTTAATTTATGTTTTATTTGTTCTTGCTTTTAAGGAAAGACTTAAAGTAAAAGTATTGAGCTTATTTTCAAGTGAAAACACTGAGGCTTGGGTTGATTAAGGACCATGATAAGTTTTTCTCCAGCTGGCTTACTGTGCATTTAAGAAAAGAAACAAGGGGCTGGGGATTTAGCTCAGCGGCAAAGCACCTGCCTGGCAAGCTCAAGGTCGTGAGTTTGGTTCCTGGTACCGGAGAAAAACCAAAAAAAAAAAAAAAAAGAAAAGAAACCACATTTCCAGTCCTTTATGCCATGATTATTGGCTTAATGGTTTCCCTTTGGCTGTTCTCATTGGTTAATGGATCCCTACAAGTGGAAGAGTTTTAAATTAATGAACTGTTTAGCAGCTGCCATTTAATGCGTGCCTAACGCCTCGATACAGCAGGCATTATCAGTGTCTTCTTCCATGAATCATTACAACTACTTAAAACATTCATAAGCTCATTTCTTTGAGATTATTTTTTCCAATGAATATATCCACCCTAGATTTTAAGATCCATCCAAGGAGAGAATTATTTATTGATGCACTGTAAAATTTTGAATATAATTGTTGTTACTCATAGTTTGTGCCACACCTACCAAATCACATGAATTTGTAATTGATTTACTACCTCTCCTTCCCATGCCCTGCATTATTTCAGCAGCAGCAGCATTTTCTGACTGAAAGAATAACTAAATCAACTATATTTGAAGTTTACAGTTAATTATTAGCACATATTTAAAGACCTTCAAAGCAGAGGTTTATTTCCTTGTTTTTCCCTTGAATACTCTTTAGACCTGTAGAATAAGTTGCCTTCTAAAATTTTACATTTCCTTCAGATTTAGAAACAAAAAACAACAGCGTTTTAAACTGTAAAGTTCCTAATGAAGGAACCAGGTTACCACCAGTCTGAAACAACATTTCAATGCCAAAAGAATTTATGGGTTATGTCTTTTTAGAATAAACTTCAGAGGATGGGGAGGGGCGAGGTTTTCTGAAATTAGTTTTAATCCTTTTGTTCGATAATACAAAGAACAAGGGGGGTAAAGGTGGAAGAGCATTCCATTTAATTTAAAACTGAAACACAAAACAACACAGCAGGTATGCAGAGTTAAGGAAGAAGTATTTGAGGATTATGAAAGCATGAATGCAAAATTCAAAAAATGTCTTGCCCCAACAGCCTGCCTTAGAATGGAAATATATTAAAACCCTTATAGGTGGGGGAAACACTTACATAATCATTTGAGTGTACTTGATTTTCAATGATCTCATAGTAAATGTCCCAAAGAGCCCACAAATATACCACAAAGGAGTCACTTTACACCAGGACTCATGAGTAGCAACTGTTCTTGAAAGAAAACAAATTTCTGTTCAGGGAATTTGAACCACTCCAAAGGATTTAATGACTTGCAGGGGTTTGTAGGTCAGTCACATCTGTTCTGAAATGAAATGCTTCTTCCTGTTTCTAAATTGACTAACCCTTAATCCCATTAGTCTCTACATCTTAAAAGAAAGATTATTCCTGTTTCATTAGCTGTGTAACAGTCGGGGCCTTTATGTTTATTCTAGCACATGGAACTCATCACAATTTTATTCTTGTCCTTTTGTCAGCAAAAAGAAGGAAGAGGCAAAGGAAGAACAAGAGAGATACTGTATGTAGATCCATGTTACGTCTGAAGGACTGACTTGGATGTCTCTTCCACACGGACACTTGTGGGAAATAAATATATCTAAAATAATAGCTAGCACCTTCCCAGATGGAGAGTTCCCTGACTTGGTTTTTTCTCTCTTTTTCTCCTTCTCGTTTCTCTCATTAGGTTTCCATTTTTCTGTGTCTGAGTCTTCTCTATTTAGAGGGAAAGAGGCTAGTCTGTGAGGGAGGCTGAAGCAAGTGCTTAGCTGTCTCAGAGGATTGTAACCCCTGCAGTGTAAGCTTCAGAGGCTTTCTATTTCTGTCACACTAAGGACAAGGGGGACAGGTTTCACTACAAAGCCTTATTTGAAAATGCAACAAATGGTTTAAAATTTCAGAAGGAAAGGAGAAAAACAAGTGCCACAAAAAATCTACAGGGAAGACAGACAGAGAAGCTAGTTACTGGAAAGGAGTGGATGGTTGGAGAATTCACACATTTTATAAAGAGATTAGAGAAAAGTACACTGTAAGAGAGAGCAGCTGCCTGGTACTCACTTCTCTGTAACTTTTTTCACACAAGTAATGAAATGGTCTGCAGTAAGAAATAAACAAGCAACCCCATATTTATGTTCCCCACATCTTACCTGTGAGTAGACAAGGTTTTGCCAGTGTTGTGCAGCAGGGTAGTTTCCACCCAGCAGTCTCACAAGACTGGCCTGCTGCAGGGCCGGGCTCTTCATTAGAGACTTCACATCAAGCTGCAGGAATTTGTCAGGATGGTTGTTATTGGGCAAAACAGAAAGATCCATGTCTCCCGTCTTCTCCAGGGGAAACAAAGGCGAGCAAGGCTGCTCCGGCCAGACTCCTCCATTATTAATGAGCCTGAGGATGCTCCAACTGGCATCTGAAACCAGGTGCCCCCAGTCCGTTCTTGAAATGACACATCAACTCACAAGAACAAAGCAACACATTGCCCTACTTTAAACACACACACACACACACACACACACACACACACACACTGAGGGTGCTTGAATGGGACAGATGGGGTTACACTGATTAAAATTAACAGGATGACAAAATTAGATATCTGTAGCACTTAATGTTCCTCCATCCAGATTCTGAACTAAGGGGGACGGTTGTCTGTATAAAGCCTGCCAGAATCTCAGTATTATGCTTCTTAAATTGGAGCATAAGAAATAATCACCCGTGTTGATTTTTCTGTTTGAATTTTTCTGAGGTAACACAACTACCTTAGCCCCACCTTTGCAGTTTCACATGTGATACACGGAGTCTTGTTTCGTCTCATGGTTTGGCTTCCAGAGTCACAAGCTCATGTGGAACCCAACCAGTTTCAGCCTGTAGCTTGCTCTGAGTAGGGAAGTTGCAGGAATTTGCTTTAGAGTTGACTACAATAATTTAGTGCCCAATCCACTGTCTTGACCTACTCACTATTGGGATTCTCTAGCTTCTGCTGCAAGCTGTCCAAGCTTCTATGATGTCTGGAATCCACCTGGCACCTTTGGAGTTAAGGGGAAACATGGTTGCTTGTGGGGGAGGATGCTCCATGGTAAGCATACCGTCTGCTGTTAAGAGGGCCAAGGTGGAGGTGTGGTTTGGACAGTGTAGCCAGCCAGCAAGTGGGGATGACTTTAATGGAGCGATGTGCAACTGTTCTCACAAGGCACTCTGTTCAAGGTGACCCATATTTCTCACTGGGAAAGTGTAGAATTCCATCTGCAGGAAGAGGAAAACATCCCACTAGTGAGAGAGCAGAGAATAAATACGTCAGAAGTGTCTAAAAGGCATAGGCTGTCTATTCCTTTGTACATATATGTAAACCCCTCTGATGCAGCAGGAAGGCTTCCCTTCCAGGGCACTGAGGTTACACATGGAATGCATCAGCGTTAGATTTCAGAACAGTACCACATCACTTACAGCAACCAGCAGCCAGGGTGTTCCTGAAGCAGGCAAGACCCTGGAGAGTCCTTACCTTCTTTATAGTGACAAAAGGGCTTGTATTTTAACAAAACTTTGTCCTCCTTATAGTTGTAACACTTAATTAAACAGTTAGCATGTTATATAAGAAAATTTTGGACATTGTTTACATATTAGGTTTACATTTTAGGTGCTTTAAAAATAAATTTACTGGAGAAAGTAATATATACTTTATATGACAGTTAAAAAAATAAACACCAGTGTTTTCAGAATCGAGTGTATTATGTATATGTGTGTGTGCTTGATATTATCTGGATTTTTCTGGCTGTTGCCAGAATATATCTAACAAACAAATATTTCTTAGACTGCTTGCTTTTCCTAAAAGATTGTTTGGGGAATATCACACATCTTCAAGAAGAACCTCACTTGTCTTTGGCTTCCTATACTGGCAAGTGGAGACACACAACTTAGATCCAAATATATTTGATTAAGCCTTTTTCTTAGCCAAAGCATGAGGTAGGTGACATGGGCTTTCAGTTTCCTTAGGCATCCTCTTAGATTCCTCTGCTATGCCCTGTGTGCCCAGAGGTTTTTTCTATTATTAATTAAGTTTGTTGGTACATTTTAAATATACATGATGACCACTTTCTCAGAGAGACTTTGCACATTTGCGTGACTTATCTCAATTCCTCTTCTTTTCTCCCAATTTCTCTTTTTTTCCCATTCAACCCCTCCTCCTTTCCTTATTTACAAAATATTTGCTTCCATTTTTCTTTCTTCTCTAGCTTTTTTCTTTTCCCTTCCTTCCTTTCTGTCTCTCCCCTTCCTAGTTCCACTTCCCAGTTGAGCATTTCCTTCCTATTTCATAAGATGTAGCACACATTCTGGTCCTTACGCTCATCTTCACTTTCTCACAGCAGAGACACGATGTGATATTTACACCGTGTGTCCACCTTTCCACTCCCAGGCTTAGTCTCAGACCCTTCCTCTTTTGTCCTCACCTTGAAAACTTTTGGTTCTCGTTGTTCTCACTTCTACCCCTGTAGGTAACCTCAGTGACTGCAACCAGGAAATCAAACACTACCCTTTCTTAGCTACTGCTCCCCGACACCATCACCACAGGAAACCAATGCCTCTACTCATGGCTGGAGACTTTCCTTTCCATCTCTGATGACTACCACCGGCCATGACTGACACCTAATTTATATAAAAATGTTACACAATTTTCATGTTAGATATGAAATCTTTTCCTCCTTTGAAATTTTGGAGTTAATTATTTATAACTTTGTCTTGCTGTCTTTCATGGGACAATGTATTCTGTACTTTTATGAGCCTCTATATTAGGTGAAACGTTACAAAATGTCCATTTTACTTTGGTCCCTTTTATATGAGTTATGTCTGAAGACCCCAATGAAATCTTTTGTTCAACAAACAATGTCTTCTTTGTCTTCCAGTCTTAAGATCAACAAACAATGACCTTCTTTGTCTTAAGATCAACAATTGTTGGAAATATGTAATCCAATTAAATTTAACTTTAAAAAAATGATTGCATATTCTGTCTTTAAATTTTCTATTCCACTCATGCTCTGTGAAAAAAAAGTTACATGCTCTACGGTTGTTTTGGTTTATAATGCACAAACTCATAGTGAAAAGTTCCAAGTTCTGTTTATGCTATCATTCTCCAAGTTTATTTGATCTCATGACATCTATTGTATTATCTTCTTATTAACTCTTAAAAACTAAGTTACTTTAGAGTAATTGGATAAGTATTGGCTGAAGGGGCTAGGGACTTAGCTCAGCGGCAAAAGGACCTGCCTGGCAAGCGCAAGGTCGTGAGTTCGGTTCCTGATACCGGAGAAAAACCAAAAAAAAAAAAAAAAAAAAAATTGGCTGAGTGTTCCTATTCATTTACTTTCACTAATAGTTTTATTTAAGAGTCACAAAAGATATAGGAGGCTTCCCAAACCTTCACAGGCAGGTAACGATCTACTCTTTCTTTACGACAAATTTTTATAAAAAATGTCATTTTTCCATGAATTATTTTGCTCTCACTTATTGCCTTTTATACCAGAGGAACTGAAAAAATAGGATTAAATACATGTTTCACTAGTTGGAAAGTCTACGTACTAATCCTTCCTAGCTCCCTCTCCTTTCAAAATTGTACCAAAAACCAGCTGAGATATCTGGAGCTATGTCCAGCTGGAAACACTGTACCATGTCCAGATGTACAGTGGAGTTTCATAACATTATCTGAGTTTGAAAATTATTTGAAGCATTTCAGTTACAAAAGAAATCTGTGATTAGGCTAGATAAATCTTTATGTATCTATTATAAAATATTTTCAAAACTGAGAAAGGGAGGCAACCAGCATGACTGAGTACCCAGAAGTTTGAGTCAGACTTGCTCTATTTCTTACAATTTAGTTATCTCATGGGCAAGTTACTGAGTCTCTGTAAGATGCAGTTTCTTGGGTTAAAACTGAAAGCATTAACAGTATCCTATAAAGTGTGTCCTGATTACTTTTCTGAGACAAAATAAGCAAATACCCAAAGTTAAAGTTAGAAAGGTTTATTTTGGCTCACAGTTTATAGAGCTTTCTGTGCCTAGTAAGCTGGCTCCAAGGCCAGACAACGTGTCATAGGGACATGGCAGAGAAGTACTGTAGGGGCAGTGAAGCAAGAGGCAGGTGCAGCAAGCATCCAGCTTCCCTTTCCCTTGTATCTTATCCTGGCTACAAAGATTTTTAGTGGTGCCACCCACACCCCGGGTGAGCTTTCCCCTTATCCACATCCAGAGCTGTGCTAAATCAAGCAGCAGACTAATTCAGTTATTACACCCGTAATTCACATTCACACACTGTTACTCCACTTTCACACACACTAAATGCAGCTACCTCAGAAAAGCCCCACCTGTAAAATGAACCCGTGCTCTTAGTGGAGGGCATCTAGATACAAGCCACAACACAAAAGTTTTGAGAGATTTGCTAGGCATAGTGATTAACAGAAAGCTTAGCATATACTGAGCACTAAAACTATGCTGTATTACTTTAAGAACGCATAAGAGTACATTTCAATTGTCCGCTATAAAGCAAGCTAAAAAAAAAAAGCATTAAAGTCATATTGGCCACCTGCATTTTAAAAGCCAACTATGTTCTCTATCATATCCTTTTGTTTGTGATTTAGAGAATTGTTTGAGAATGTATGAAAAAATGAAATTGATTTATGGAGATAAATATTTTGCAAATCGGAAAAGGTCCAAGAGATGAAGGGTGGGGGTGGGGAGAGGATTAAGATGTGTTTTATATATGTACCAACTCCCCGCAATGAACATAATCACTCTACACAACTCTGCTCACTGGACTATAATTATTAGCATTGGAAATTTTTCCATGGAACACAATTTAAAAAGTGGAATTGGAAGTTTGTTGATGTGACTAGACTTACAGAATTCAAACATTAATCATCCATGGTATGCCTTGACCAAATTATTATTTAAATTCTCACATATAGTCATTTGAAGCATAATCCCTACAGAGGGTGAGGCACAGAATTATCAAGTATCTGTTGCATTATAATTTATTGAATCAAACAGGTAAATGATTTGGGATTAATTAGTTGCTTCTGAATGTGTTGGAAAACTAAGAAAAAAATAATGGTTATGAATTTAAATTCACAGCTCCAGGAAAGGTTCAGAACTAGAAATCTTCCATGACTACTCTAAATAACCACTATTCCTCTAGTGCTAAGATTCCTGAGGTTACATCCTTATCAGTTGTCATATTTTCTAAATCTGTATCTAGGCTCAGTATCAGAAATATCCAAGAGTATCAAGTAAAAAGTGTGGTTTGTGAGGTATTACCATACATGCTAAAAAATTACAAGATTTTGCTAATTTATATTGGCTGAATAGAGATGTTCCTTAAGGGTGTTAGATCAGGGTAGAAAGAATAAAATGTTGGATTAGTGTGAAATTTTTGACACCAGCGTACTGGGAAGATTGAATCCAGAAATTCTGGATCCCATGTAC